AAAAAAGGAAAGGGGAGGGAGGGGGAAAAAAAAGAAGAGGGCAGAGAGGGCAGAGAACCCACATTTCCAGATACTCTGGACAAGCAAGCAGCAATAATAGCCATAGCTAAAGTTTTAACACTCTTGACACTCTTGTTATTGTGCACTACTGAGCTCTCCTGTTACTCTGCCTACTCTTTATCTAATTAGCATGACGATGCTAACAAGCAAGGTCACATATAAAAGACTATTCCAAACGCTTGCAATCAAAAAATCTTCTTTGCCTACAAGATGACTACATGTTAAAGTTTAAATTCATTGAAAGATAGGTTGTCATTGGTTTGAGTCTTTTTCCCTCCTTTTCATTYGACTGAACCATACACAAAACAGTCCATCTTCAGTCCTGTATTTCCTCCCTAGCACTCAATGTGTCATTTCTTCCCCTGCTTTGCTTTGAAATTCATCAGTGGACTGTGACATTGATTATTCTTCAACTTTGGATGAACATTTAATGGTTTTCATACTAACAAAACAGTGTCCTTTCTTGGTGCTTAAGGTATTTGATAAAATCTGTTCTTACAGATGGACAAAAGAAGAGCATAGTTCTTTCAGACGTACCTAAATCAGGTAACGGTTCATCTGAGGCTGATGAATGCTACAGCATAAATAAAGCATAGGTTTAGTCAGCTGTGCCCCGATTACAATTTCACAGCTTTAAAAGGACTGTTCGTTTTCTTGTACATTATCCTTTAAAGCAGCCTTCTCTATACAACAACTGCTTCAGAAGATGATGTGTAAAATCTGGCTTTAGGGGTTCAACAAGCAAACAATTACAAAAATTATGCTGACAAATGGCAACTCCTCTTGATATCTCACAAGAGTTGCCATGAATGCTCTTCGCAAGATATAAGGAAGCAACGTAGAAAGCAGACAATGTTTAAGCATCACCAAAACTGCAAAATCATTAAAGTTCCATGGCATTTCAAGGAGARTAACTGGTCACATTCCTCAAACAAAATATGGCTTCGGATACACATGACCAAAAATGTTTCACCATTTTGGCAATTCTGCATTTATGCAGTGCAGTATCCTTTATAAATAGTCTCAAAGTCAAAACATCAGAATCATATCTTCAAGAAGATACGAACAAATGTGAATGTAAATGAAATAAGATGTGAATCTTGGCTTCTTAGAAGTATTAGGATACATGTATATACAGCCTATAAAAGAAAAACACATCTTTAATACCTGAAAAGCAGATACCGCACTTGGAAGTACTCTGTACCTTCTGTAGCTAATCCTGTTGATTCCAGCACRATGGGTATCTCACATGACTTACTTTCTTCCCCAAGCAGTTCCACTGGCTTCTGACAGATGACAAATTCATCTGTCTCAAGCTGCACAGTATGCTCTGAAGGGCCATCATCTTTCATACCTTTGAACAATGAAAATGATACATTCATTGTTCAAAACAGTTCCAATAAGAAACTGAGGTGGTACATTAAATACTCCAGTTGCCTAATTAGGGGTCTCRTTCAAACGCTTAGAACATGAAGAGAGCTGGACCTGAAGACAGGAACAGTCTTTCATTTAAAGCCTCAACTGCCATAACACCTAGAAGTCTTGACTCACACACACACACAAAAAAAAAAAAGKCCCACACATAAACTGCTCAATATAAGGCAAGACTCAAATAATCTGTGCTCTATATGGCAAGCTATCAAATAAGAAAAAGCTGAGAATGATCAGAAAGGTTTTAATCTGGGAAAGACCCAGCTATGATAGAATGCTAGGTCTCCTTAAACTCACTTATGATCCAGAAAGCATATTCTTGATTTTAATTAATATAGAATCATAGAATGCCGAAGGTTGGAAGGGACCTCAGAGGTCATCGAGTCCAAYAGCCCTGCTCACGCAGGGTCACCTAGAGCACGTGGCACAGGGCTGCATCCAAGCGGGTTTTAAAGATCTCCAAAGAAGGAGACTCCATAACCTCTCTGGGCAACCTGTTCCAGTGCTCTGTCAACCTCACAGTGAAGAAATGCTTCCTTAAGTTCCTGTGGAACTTTTGGTGCTTCAGTTTGAAGCCATTTCCTCTAGTCCTATCACTGTCCACCACTGAAAAGAAGCCGCCCCCCTCCTCCTCACTGCCTCCCTTGAGGTATTTATACACGCTGATCAGGTCCCCCCTCAGCCTCCTCTTCTCCAGGCTGAACAGGCCCAGCTCTCTCAGCCTTTGCTAATATGGCAGATGTTCCAGGCCTCTGATCATCCTGGTAGCCCTGCGCTGGACTCTCTCCAGCAGCTCCACATCCCTCTTGTACTGGGGAGCCCAGAACTGGACGCAGTACTCCAGATGTGGCCTCACCAGGGCTGAGTAGAGGGGGATGATCACTTCCCTCAATGTGCTGGAGACGCTTTTCTTAATGCACCCCAGGATCCCGTTGGCCTTCTTGGCCACCAGGGCACACTGCTGCCTCATGGTCAACTTGTTGTCCACCATGACACCCAGGTCCCTCTCTGCGGGGCTGCTCTCCAGCAGGTCCACCCCTAATCTGTACTGGTGTCCAGGGTTATTCCTCCCCAAGTGCAGGACCCTGCACTTGCCCCTGTTGAACCTCATGAGGTTTCTCGCCGCCCAGTCCTCCAGTCTGTCCAGGTCCCTCTGGATGGCAGCACAGCCCTCAGGGCTATCAGCTACTCCACCCAGTTTGGTATCGTCAGCAAACTTGCTGAGGGAGCACTCCAGCCCTTCCTCCAGGTCGTTAATGAATAAGTTGAACAGGACCGGACCGAGAACTGACCCCTGGGGGACACCACTAAGTACAGGCCTCCAGCTGGACTCCGCACCATTGACAACCACTCTCTGCACCCTGCCATCGAGGCAATTCCTAATCCACCTCCCCGTCCACACATCTATCCCACACCTTTGGAGCTTGCCCAGGAGGATGCTGTGAGGGACAGTGTCAAAAGCCTTGCTCAAATCCAGATAGATGACATCCACCGCTCTGCCCTCATCTATCCAGCTAGATATTCCTTCGTAGAAGGTGATCAGGTTAGTCAAGCAGGATTTCCCCTTGGTGAATCCATGCTGGCTACTCCTGAGCACCTTCTTCTGCTCCATGTGTCTGGAGAGAGCAGCCAGGATGAGCTGCTCCATCACTTTCCTGGGGATGGAGGTGAGGCTCACGGGCCTGTAGTTACTCGRGTCCTCCTTCTTGCCTTTTTTGAAGACTGGAGTGATGTTGGCTTTCTTCCAGTCCTCCGGCACCTCCCCCGTTCTCCAGGACCTTCGAAAGATGATGGCGAGCGGCTCGGCTAGGACATCTGCCAGTTCCCGCAACACTCTGGGGTGCATCCCATCAGGGCCCATGGATTTGTGGGTGTCGAGGCTCCCTAGATGCTCTCTGACCCACTCTTCCTCTACCCAAGGCAAGCCTTCCTCTCTCTGGCTCTCTTCCTGTGTCCCTAGGGGCTGGGATTCTAGAGGGCTGCCCCTGACAAACACGGAAGCAAAGGCAGCATTCAGCAGCTCTGCTTTGTCCGTGTTTTTTGTAACCAGGGTACCCACCCCATTCACTATTGGACCCACGTTCTCCCTGACCTTCCTTTTGTTATTGATATATTTGATATATATAAATTTGATATATATAAATTTGATATATATAAATTTGATATATATAAATTTGATATATATAAATTTAAGTAATTTTATGTAATTTTAAGTAATAAAAATTAGAGGCATGAAACTATTCTCTGAATTAAGATCTGTCTTCTGTCAATGAGAAAAATTCCAGCCTGCACTCTCCCTATCTGGAAAGTCTTTTTTTAAGCTTTTTTTCCTAGGTAAAGTTTCCACTTCTAAAATAACATCTTTTCATTTTTAATTTTTTCAATTACAAATGAACAACTTTTTGACAAACAACAATTTAAAGACTTTTTTCCATCTTTTCAGAGAGGCAGAAGGTGATTTATACAAGCACAAGTTGCTTGCAATATGGGAGAATACAGCCTACTAACTTAAGCAGTAATCCATTTCTAGGTTTTCTAAGAGTTTATAGCAAACCCCAAAAGAAAACAAAATGCTGAAAAGAGACATGCTTACTCCCTCCTCACCCAGGTTCCGATCTTGAAAATAGGTGCAGAAGTGTACAGGTGTTGCCATAAAATCCCATCTAAAATATCGAATCACGGAATCATTAAGGTTGGAAGGGACCTCTAGAGATCATTTARTCCCCCTGCACGTGCAGGGTCACTTAGAGCATGTTACACAGGCTGCATCCAAGTGGGTTTTAAAGATCCCTTCATAAGGAGGCTCCACAACCTCTCCAGGCAGCCTGTTCCAGGGTTCTGTCACCCTCACTCTCAAGAAATTTTTCCAAGTTCCATGCGTACACCAATAATCATGATCTACTTTGTAGTTCATGAATCGCATTCTGTATTGGCCTCCCACTTCTTACTTTGAAGAGACATTGGGACAGTGTTATCGATGGAAAAAAAAAAACTCTGAATGCAGCACACAGAACTACAACCACTTGGATGTGGCCTTTGATGGCATCACAGAACAGACATAATCCTGTGGCTACAGAGCTTGTACTATCCTGCAAGTGTCTGCAGAGCAAAGGCATATTTGTTTTAGGCCTTGTCTCTAACTACAGGCAGTACAACACGTCCTAAAATATTCAAGGTAACAGTCATACGACTATCTGGAAATATTTTTTGAGGGGTAACAATTTTTATGGAACTACTTTGAAAGTAACAAGAATCAGTTAAAAGATTCTAGCACATATATTTATATGTAGACTCTTCACTTACCTCTGTCCACAGGTGCCTGCAGTGTATTAGCATCACATGCACGTTGCCCCATGCTGTCCGTATCTTGCTGGGCCAGTTCCAGTTTCAGCATCAGGACATCCAGCTCCGTTGTTACGGCTATATATCTGCTACAAAATGCAACTTCAGCTGGAATTACATTATCAATGTGTAAAATTAAGGAGCGTTCAAAATCCAAAACAGTGAAGTTTGGGTTTATGACCAGGTATTTCAAACTGAACATAACCAGTTTATTTTTGCAGCCCACAAGAAGATTTCCATTCACAGGACAACACGAAACGCACAGTGGAGGATCTGAAAGTGGCATTTCCACAATTGACATCTGTTCTTTCAAGGCCTCAGTGTATGACTCTTCCATCTTGTGACCCACCATGCGGACGCACACGCGAGGGCTCCCAGATGACATGCATCTCCAGTTCGTGTATGCTCTTAAGAAAGTTGCTTTGTTTTTCTCTTCAATTGTTACCACATAGTCTCCTGCAGAGAATGGTAGCACCGTTAGCGGCCTTCGAGCCCCCAGTCCAGCACCGCAACCCGCCCGAGCCCCGTGCCCTGCACCGGTACTGTCCCTGTGATCCGCCCGAGCCCTCCGCGGCATCCGGGCGACCCCCCGCGGCGCCGGCGCAAACCTGCGCGGCTGTGCGCCATGCGCAGCACGGCTCCCAGCGTGGCGAAGGAGCCCAGAGGCTCGCAGCGGCCCTGCTCGCGCACGGCGAACACCTCCACCCCGCAGCTGGCCGCCGCACAGGCCACAAAGAGTTCGTCCTGGCCACAGCAAAAGTGCGCCGGCTCCTGCTTGCAGGGCACCACCTGCTGCGACCCGAAAGGGTGCAGGTTGTAGAGCTGCACCATGGCCGCCTCAGTGGCCGCGCCGCCGGGTACAGCCGCACTTCCGCAGCGCGGAGCTGAGCGTGACGGCGCCTGCGCGCACGGCTGCGCCTGCTCCCTGTGCCGCGGTGCTCGGGCCGTTGCTGGGCGGTGTCTCCGCGAGCTCGGTGCCACGTTGGCGCCCTCCGGGACCCTCCCGGTTCGCACGGGACGTCGCTCTGCGTAGGCGGCACCTAGCGCTGGGCTGGGAGGCGCCTMGCGAATGCAGCTCTTGGTCAATGTGCAGTATGTTCCGAGTCGATCCCCTTGCGGTGGGTGGGGTAGGCGGCTCAGAGCGGGGTTAGGCCGTAGTGGCAGCAGCCGAGCACGGGTTGCTCTGGTTGGACTTATTTCAGTATCCTAGATGCAAAAACAAAGGCATTTTTTTTTCTTTAGAACTTCATAAACTGCATACATGGGATGCTATACAAATCCTAGTTACTAGTATTTCTGAAAATAATTTATTTCAGGGTATCTTTAGCATATGTAGTAAAAAAATTAGACTGTTTCCTCTTCTAATTTTATGTAACATATAGAAATTTTCTCACCTTTTCAGGATTCAGAACAATTCCAATTCAGTGGACCACCAGTCTTTACCTGAGCTGACTGTCCTATGAGTTCAGTATTTCATAAATACCTGTAAAATTACTAAATATACTCTTAAAGAATATTCATAAAATACTTAGTTGCTCTAATAGAGCAACTTTGAAAAAATGACAAGGGTATTTTTAAACCAGATGTTAGATCTTTTATTTTTCCTTTTACCTTAAGGAAGTCAAAGGCATGGAACCTTTCCCGTTAGAAAATTTACTTTTTATGGAATGTCCCCCATTTTTTTTCTTTGGAAAATGTTAAGTYTTATGTTAACAATAAATTTAGGATGAAGTACTAGTTCCGTTCAAAAGTGCAATGGCATATAGTACAACTGTAGTCAAATGAATCACTTGTGTACAGTAGTATTAAGTGGTACCTCAAGAACTTCAAGAATTTTTACTTAAGTCTTTTGTGAAGCCAATCTCAAGGGGAGATCCTAAGAGCTCAGTCCGGTTCCTCGATATTGCGCAGACAGACTTGGAATAATCATAATGTTCCGAAACAACCTGAGTGGAAACAGTTTCCTGCTTGGGAGAAAGCAAAATGAAGGTAGGATATGTCATAGAACATGTCAATATCACAGAAAGTTAGACGTGACTTTCTGATTTATTTTACAATTTGCATATGCCTGGATGCCAACAAAAGGTACAAATTAAAATGGTACTTGCTTAGCGAGTATAGAACAGTAGGTAGAACTTTAAAGCTTTATTTGAAAAAATCAAACAAGTGAACAGGATTCTGAATTATTTTTGTTGTTGAAATACATTTTCAGACTTAAGTTTTCTTAATATTCTTCCCCTTCTTCAGCTTCTGCTTCCACTGAATCTACTCCAACTTCTTCATAATCTTTTTCAAGGGCAGCCAGATCTTCTCGAGCCTCAGAAAATTCTCCTTCCTCCATTCCTTCTCCAACATACCAGTGTACAAAGGCACGCTTAGCATACATGAGATCAAATTTATGGTCAAGACGAGCCCATGCTTCAGCAATAGCAGTTGTGTTACTCAGCATACACACAGCTCGTTGCACTTTTGCAAGGTCACCACCTGGCACCACAGTTGGAGGCTGATAGTTAATTCCCACCTTCAAGAAAAGAAAATAAAAACTTCTGCAGTGAATGCTAATCCTTCAAAACGTATTTCTGTCATTAATTTAAAAAAACACACCATAGTTATGAAGAAATAAACAAGCTTATCATTACTTTTTATCAAAACTGTTAACAAAATCCTAATTACAGGATCAAGTCAACTTGGACTAGCATTGAGATAGGCTGATCTATAGTATTGCTTTCCCTGCAGATTATGGTATGTAATGTGTAGGAACAAAAATGAGCCTAGAGGGACCATGGAAGAAACCAGTGAAAGTGAGAGCTAACTGTAGAGTCTAAGATAAAGGTCTGGTCTTTCCAAATCCTGAGTGTGTGGTTAATAGTTGGACAAAATCCTTGATGGAGAATCTGATATTGATCTGGTAAAAAGTCTACATTTGGGAGTTTAAAAAAAAAAACATACAAACAAAACAAAAAACTATTGCCCCAGCAGTAGAAGTGGGCCCTACTAAAGTTGTGTCATTGGAATACAGACCTAGCAGTTAACAGCATCTGTCATTTTAACATATCTTTAATTGTTTTGAGAAGTTACTTCATTGAAGTACTACTCAGATCACTGAAAACAGTGTTTTCAGTTTAACTAACTTTTGTCAAGTTTAACATATATAATAAAAATACAGTGTAATTATTCAGTAGTCATCTATTTGTAAACTGTTTTCACATCCTCAGTACTGCCTATGCATATAATTGTTACGTTTATGTTCATAACTTTATATGGAATTTTCATTCCTGTTGCAATAGCTAACATTTTAGAATGCTCAGAAGCAACGACATTATGATACTGTAGAATGATTGCCTTCAAATACTATGCAATTCCTAATACTTCCTATATCAGATAATTTCTAAGTTACGCAAGTACCTTGAATCCAGTTGGGCACCAATCCACAAACTGAATGGTTCGCTTAGTCTTGATAGTAGCAATAGCTGCATTAACATCTTTGGGAACAACATCACCTCTATATAGCATACAGCAGGCCATATACTTGCCATGACGAGGGTCACATTTTACCATTTGGTTGGCTGGTTCAAAACAAGCATTGGTAATTTCAGCCACTGATAACTGCTCATGGTATGCTTTTTCAGCAGAGATGACAGGGGCATATGTTGCAAGAGGAAAATGGATTCGTGGATATGGAACAAGGTTAGTCTGAAACTCTGTCAGATCTACATTGAGGGCTCCATCAAAACGCAAGGAGGCTGTGATGGAGGAGACAATTTGCCCAATTAGTCGATTTAAATTGGTATAAGTAGGCCGCTCAATATCAAGATTGCGACGACATATATCATAAATAGCTTCATTATCTACCATGAAAGCACAGTCTGAATGCTCCAATGTTGTGTGGGTAGTTAGAATTGAGTTGTAGGGTTCCACTACAGCAGTGGAAACCTGTGGTGCTGGATAAATTGCAAACTCTAATTTAGATTTTTTGCCGTAGTCAACAGAGAGCCTTTCCATGAGGAGAGATGCAAATCCTGAACCAGTGCCGCCTCCAAAACTGTGAAAGATAAGGAAACCTTGCAGCCCTGTACACAGATCAGCCTATAATGGGATAAAAAAAAAAAGGTAGGAGAAAAGAAAATGCTATTAATGACTTTGGAGATGGTAATATTAAATAAAAGTAATAGTAATAAGAATAATTTTTATTAGTTTTAGATTGTTATAATAAAAATACCGGCATCCTTGAAGTTGCATACCTTTTATTCAGAACTGCTAGTGTCTCTTTGTACCCTCTACTGAACATTAACAGTTTCGTGTGAAAGAGCTGAATTRGTCATTGATGTCACTTTAATACTACTGTAAGCAAGAACAGCTGTACACCACTATTAAATTAGAAAAAATATATAACTGGGTTACAGCGTTGGGAAAGCAAACAGATTCTATTCAAGCATGCAGTAAGTATCAAAGTGTTGAAAGCAAGTTTTTTGATGTTTCCTAATTTAACTAGTCAGGCAATCAGTTTTTCACTTTGAATTACATCATCATATGAATTTTTCCCAATATGATGTCAGAATATACTAGAAAAAATATTTTAAATTGCTAAACGTTCAACTAAGTCCTGAGGTTTAACGTACCAGAAATGTTTTGCATGATGCATAACAGCATGATTCAAGTTGAAAATAACAAAACATTAGTGTGTAATGCCATAACTACACTCATTTAGGGGATTTATAATGTTATGAGGAATCCTTAAAATACCTTCAGACAATGATGTTTCAGTTGTTTAAAAAAAGCTGTTTTTATGGAGTGAATAGTTATTTAACTCAGATGAGAGGGAGGTAGGGCAGGGAGATCAACTTAAAAATATTACCCATGCTTAAAAGCAAAGAACAGTATCAGTTATTTTAAATACTGACTTGTAGTGTAAATGCTTACCAGTTTGCGAATCCGATCTAGCACTAGATCAACAATCTCTTTTCCAATGGTATAATGGCCTCTGGCATAATTATTTGCTGCATCTTCCTTCCCAGTAATGAGCTGTTCAGGATGGAATAACTGCCTATATGTGCCTGTACGTACTTCATCTATGAATAAAGAAAATCAAAGTAACACAAGGACATAACACCGATCTGCTCAATTTTTTGTGCTGATAGTAACTACGTATTAAGTAAGCCTACAAGCCAAAATAAAATGTAGATGCTAGCTGTAGACACTGGCTATTCCTGCAGCTTGTTTAAATTATTGTAAATGATTGGCACAACTTCAGCCCCTTTGTTTAAAGGAAAACAGATGCTTCCAAAGCAATGTTTGAATTCATGAATATGGAGGTAGTTCAAAAAACTATATAGACAAGATTCTGAATAGAAATTAAACCAATCTCTATATACAATACAGCAATTTAGGGATTTTCCACAGGCTGTAAAACAGTTCATTTTTTCCAAGTGTTACCCTGAGAAAGACCATATTTCAATTCTTTCAGATTCAAAGAAGTGAAGAAAATAGCACTTCATATGAAAAATATTTGAAGTTTGGTACATACCAACTACAGTTGGCTCAAGGTCCACAAATACCGCTCTGGGAACATGTTTACCAGCTCCTGTCTCACTGAAGAAAGTGTTAAATGAATCATCTCCACCTCCAATAGTTTTATCACTGGGCATCTGACCATCAGGTTGGATCCCGTGTTCCAGACAATACAATTCCCAGCATGCATTGCCAATCTGAACACCAGCCTGACCGACATGGATAGATATGCATTCACGCTGCAAATTAAAAAAATAATTAAAACAGGGGGTACAGACATACCTGTCCTCCAGATGTAATTGTCATTAGTAACTAGTTATCTGGGGGCTTTATTACCATTATTCTTCTATTGCAATTATTGCCTGGCAATGTCTAAGTGGTGATAGTACTGATGAAATTGTCTGCTGCTGGGAAGACTGCACTTACCTCAGCTGACCTTGATAGAGGGTTTAGATTTTAGGGGCTATAGATGGCATATTTTGTATAAGCACATGGGATGAAAACACCATCCCTTACCATGCTGGATGCATATTGTTTCTTTGATATTCTTGCTATTTTTTTCACTTTTCTTTAATTGGAAGACTTCTATATATAGTAGTAACTCAAAATTTCTTCAATTTGTTGCCAGGTCATGCATACAGTAAACATTGCATGAACCTTCCCTGTATAGTATCTCATAATAATGCTTTATTTAATAATAAAGAGATATTCGGTCACTGACAATCTCTATGTGTTTGGATTCCTCTACTAACCTATCTCAGTGTCCCAATCAAGTGTCATCTGCCCACTTTTTATGAGCTTTGATAAAGCTAAGCATGTAGGTTGTATACATTTGTTCTCAATAAATTCTTTTCCCCCTCCTTACATCAGAAACTTAAATAACCTTCTAGCTGGTTGTTACCACATCTCTAGGAAAAGTGGAAGTGGAAAAGAAAAAAGTAGGGTGTTTGGACACATCTTTCCAATCTCGTCTCCTTGATTCCATGTTTTAATTCTCACCATCGTGGTTTTGTCAGTGAAATTAGCTGCCCTCATTTCCACGTCCATTCAGTCTGCCCCGTATTTCCATGGCTTTCTTGCCACCTGACCATTTCCAGCTTCCTGCTACTTGCCGACATGTGACTTTCTGGGCCTGAGGAAGAGGCGCCAAAGCTCAACCACCAATCCCGCCCCTTCGGCAATGCGCCTCTCGCCACCAAACGGCGCCACGCTATTGGCCGTCGCTCAGACTCCTCTCCTCTGATTGGCTGCGCACAACGCTCACAAGATTTGAAAACCAAGACAATCAAAGTGGAAGCATAACGGTTGGTTCATGACACCTCATTTCGTATCATCTCTTTGCTACTCGAGTCTGTTCGAGTGTTTTAGTCTGCTCCTTATCTTCCCTCTACTATTTAGTGCACCCGGCATGCTATTAAGAGCACTTCATTGCTTTTGTATACGCTCTCATCCAACTACATACGCACCCCTTTCCACACCTAACCTCCCCCGAACTGTTTTACACAAGTTTCTCTCCTCCCAAATCATTCCACCTTGCTGCTGCTGCAAAACCTCCTCACGGGTGCTCCCTACAAGTCTTGTTCCAGCACACGCAACCCTGAACTCCCCGGACCTGTCACAAAAGATGCGGTCCCCAATTCCCCTTCTCTCCCCAGTCACGAGGATCCCGTTTCCCACCATGTTGCCTTGCTGAGGTTAGGAGTTTCGGCTATGCCAGACCGCGTCCGCCTCTCTGCGCCGAACAGCACCAACTGTCAACGGTCACCCGCCTCGCGCCTCACGCCCGCGCGCCCTGCCTTCCCATTGGCTGGTTCCAGTACTGTGCGGCGGGGAATGGAGGCCTCTGATTAGCTGAGCGTCGTCGTCTTCCCACGTGGGGTGGTGGTTGTTACACTCTGGACTGCAGGCGCGCGGGCTGCTCGCGCCCCCCTGAGCGGGAAAGCGCTGAGGCGGTGCCGCGCGGCGGGCGTGGGGCTGGGCGCGGAGCCGGAGACCCCCGCGCTCCTTGAGGCGCTCATCTCGCCTCAGTGCGTGCCTTCTGCCCTCAGTGGGTGTCCTAGCGGGGACCAGCGGCGAGCGGTTGCTCTCGCACCGGCTCCGCAGGCTTCTGGAAGTGGCAATGGCAGCAGAGTGCTGCCCGGCTGGAGATGCTTCGTACCGCGGCCGGCTTGACGAGGTCGCGAGGAGGGTGCGGAGTGTSGGGGGCGGCGCGTGGTGTCCCTCCACAGCGGCCGCGAGGAAAAGTGCGGCGTGAGAGGCCGCAAGTGCCCTCCAGCGGTAGAAATGAGGCTTTCAGAGCAGAAGGTTTGATGCTTTCTGCGGGAGCTGCCGCACCACAGGCTTCAGCTGTGTCAGGCAAAACTTGGTGCTTTTCCAGTGTTCGGGGTGTACCCTCCTCGTGTGACCGCTACTGCATAGAGATTCCTCATGGTGGGTGCAGGAGGCTGCAACAGAGAGAAGACCGGGCTGGTCCGCAGAAATGCAGTAAATGCATTGTGAGTTTCTTTAGTAGGAGCAGGGATTATTGTCATGTAACACCAGTTATGCAAAGCAGTCTGAGAGATCTCATAGAGAAAAAATATATATAGCTAAAACTTTTATTTTTTTTATTGCATTTTCAGTCCAAATTGTAAAGTATTTCAGTCTAAATAGTTCTTTGTGCTTGTTCCAACCTTTGACTTTTTAACCTGGTCATTTCTTATTAATGGTCTTGTATGAAGGAATATTCAGTCCAGGTTGTTCTCTCTGATGAAGTTAGTGAAATTTGAAGAAAAAAATATTTTGTTCAGACGGCTGCCTGAAAGTAACAAATGCGGGGGGAGGAGGGGAAGCGTTACTTTAATCTTCAAACAATTCACATTCTATTCATGCAAACTATATTCTTGCTATGTATTCAAAAACCTACACTAAGCTGAAGATGCTCTTTGTTTCGGGGGTTTGCCCATAAGGCTTGATTTCAGATTCTTAGTAAGATCTCTCTGCAAGCAATTGGCAACCAACCATCCTTATGAAAGCTGCACTTAACCAATTGCAATTCTGAAAGCAGCCTAAAATTGAGATCAGTGCCTGGTACCTGCTAGTGTTGTGCTGCTTGTTTGTTCAGTGAAGACTGCCGTGATAAAAGATATCTTCATCATGGTGTTGATGGATCATCTGTCCTGAAGCTTCACTTAAGCAATGTGGCTAAGGACTGTGTTTAAGATGGTTTCATTTATCATGTGATCCTGTAAAGCCATGAGAGCTTTCAGATGGCTGCTTAGTTTCTGTGGTATTTTTTCTGGGTGCATGTGGATGCCTAGTCATTGTAAAATTTAAGACGGAGCCAGACTGTGGCACCAAGTCTGCAAGCTCTCTTATTTGCTAGATGATTCAAATCCTTATGTCTCTGTACAATGAGAGATGATGGCACCAGAAGAAGAAATTGTTGCAGTTCCATCTGTGTGCTTAGTTTGTGCTTAATAATATAATTAGTGTTTGGATTGCCGCTGAGTTGAATAAGTTCCCCAGTACATTATTTTTGTGATCCTTAATAATGGATAAATTTGAAAGTGATTGAAAGTTTTAAATAGTATTTTTCCCCCGTGTATTCCAGGCAGTCTGTTCTATTTTTTTTTCTTCATTTTTCTGCAAAACTTCCATGTTGAGAGAGCAAAATATTAGCAGTTCATGTGATTGCATGTGAATGAATTTCTTCATTTTTTGATACAGTAAAAATGCAACAGAAAAGGTAGATGTAGTGTGTTAGCTTTAATTCAGATTTTTAAATGAAAGCTACAGCATACTATTGTAGTTAGTTAAAAGTTAAATATTCTACATTAAAAATGCATATAGATACATATAGATAAATAATACTAAGTCATTACTAGCCCAAGTATATGAACTGGCTTATGTTCACCACTGCTTAACATGGTAACAGTTACAGTTCCAGAAACAGGACATTTGAAAATATACTCACTTCAGCATTTATAATTTGTTAATTCTCCTCATTTTTAAAGTTGCCAGATACCTTGCGTGTCTATGATAGAAATGCACCAGAGTCCTTGCTTTTATATATATGTACACACGTGTGTGTGTGTGTGTGTGTATATATAATGATTTTGAAATAAAAAAGTTGGTAAGATTTCTTTGCTAGTCAAAAAGTCAGTGTATGAGTTATATTAGAATGATGGGTAACTAAGCAAATTGGGCGGACTCTTAGGTAAAATCCTTGCTATGGTCATACAAAGCATGGAAAGGCTCAGATTTTTGGCAGTGGCCCTTTCCAAGAGGTGGTGCTTCTCATCAKCAGCAGCAGCAGTAGCAGCAGCAGCAGCAGTAGCAGCAGCAGCAGTGTTTATGTCTTTCCTTTGTAGCATCTTTTCAGCAACTAGCCTGAGTCTCCTAGACTTGTCGCTAATGCTTTTTGTCGCTGTTTTGTGCCTTTTCTTGTTCTGGAAGACAGGCAAAATGATATTTTCCAATATTGCTGAGAAGTCTTGAGCTATCTCTTGAGTATTAAAGGGGAAATCTGTAAGCTTGCATTTAGTCTTAAAAAAAAATCTGAAAGGACTTGATGTCTGATCACCACTTTATACGTAGCTACTAAACTTCTGATGAAGAAAATACAGTCATTTTAAAAACACAAACTATAAATTATATATAAACTATACCTAACGCTTAGGTATGTGTTAGTGTATGTTGATCTTCAACCACTGTGTGTTGATGTTCAAGGTGTTCTCAGCCATATGAATCATACCAGACACAAAAATAACCAAACTGAAGTATAACTGTGATTTTAAAGATGTCCAGGTCTATGTTTGTGGTCTGTAGAAAATCAGACAAGAAAAATCTTACAAGCATAGTATGAAATGCAAGAGAATTCACACTGAGGGGAAATAGCATGGGGATAGGAAGGAAGGAAGGAGGGAAGGAAGGAACGAACCTTGGTTTCTGAAGGACTTTTAATATTTAAAGCTGAATGCAGGGAGGAAGGGGACAGGCTGTTTTCACTGGTGGCCAGCGACAGGACGAGGGGTAATGGCCACAAGCTGAAGCACAGKAAGTTCCRTCTCCAGGTGAGGAGSAACTTCTTTACTGTTAGGGTGACAGAKCAGTGGAACAGGCTRCCCAGGGAGGTTGTGGAGTCTCCTTCTTTGGAGGTCTTCAAAACCCTCCTGGATGCCACCCTGTGTCACATGCTGTAGGTGTGCCTGCTTGAACAGGAAGGTTGGACTAGATGATCTGTAGAGGTCCCTTCCAACCTTAAATATTCTGTGATTCTGTGAATGTGAAGCAATATTAAATGTCAGGAGAGAGCAGTGAACTGTTTCAGTCATATTATTCTGAGTTCAAGACACTCTATTGTGAGTTTTTGTGGCACTGTGGATGTTGGAAGTAGAGTATTAGACTCTGCTCCCTTGATGGTCTCCTGGTTTGTCCAAAAACGGAATTCTGCAGCATGGATTGCCAGAGTAAGGAACCAAAAGCAAATAGTCTGGTTTGTAAAAGAAATTCGTTAGGAAAATTGCTGTGAATGAACTGTGTTTGCTACTTTGGGATTTGATAAATCTGCAAATCCTTGTAAGTTCTATCAGTTTTGTCCAGAAGTATATAGAAGTACTTTTATAAAATCATAGTCTTCTTTTCTTTTTGGAAATTTATAGCTTTATTATAAAAGTTGTAGTAGAAATTGTATTCGGTATTTGTGACCTTAAAATTTGAATGGACCAAAAGCAGAGGTTTAAAATTCCATCTTATATCATTGAATCTGTGAGAATTTCTCTGTAAATTCAAGAAAAGGCTTTTGCTTGAATAACATTTCTATTTGCAAGATCTCTTAGACTGAAATCAAAAGCAATTTTTAAAGGATGGAGAAACACCCTCTTAAAACAACCAAGAATTATGGCAATGCGTCTCTAAGAGACTGAACCATCTGTACTTTTTCAGTTTCGTATAACTGCAAATACTGTCTACAATCAATGTAGGAACTTTCACAGGTCTGTCTCAATACTGCAAAGCGATGCATGCTTTTAACTACCGCTGACCAAGGTGGTCTTCAGAATCCATGCAGGAACTTATAAATATACTSTATCTGTTACTAGTGCACCAAGTGCTTTTACCGAGCTACTCTGTAAATCAGACTACTATTTTGAGTTTTCACAAAACGCGATTGTGGCAGTCTGTGGGTATTTATTTCCTGGCGTCTTTCCAAACCCATGAGCARTATTACCCCGCTTATCACTGTTTATCACTGTTCGGGTTAATTGCACGCGTCCCACGTCACTGCCGATGTCCGGCGCGGGCCGCCCCGAGCAGTGGCCGAGGCGGGAAGACGGGGCCAGGCCGAGCCACCCGCTTTGCGCCGCCGATGCCTGATGGGGAAGCAAGGAAGACACTGCCCCCGTCGGGTTCGCGCTGTCGCTATTGGTCGGCATCCGCGCCTGTCCGGCGGCGATTGGCGGTGGCCATTTGTCAGTCAGGCCTGAGGCGCGGGGCGGTGCGAGGCCGGTCTGAGCGGTGCCAAGGCCGCCGCCATGTCGTGGAGGCCTTGCAAGTGAGGCGGGGGCGGTGGCGGCGTGCGGGCGGCCGGGCGCGCTGTGCTCGGTCGCCAGCGGCGGCCTCGGTGGCCGCTGGCTGCTCCATGGCTCGGCGGGCGCCTCCGGGCTGGCGGGCGCGGCAGAGAGCGTGGGGGGCCTGCGGCGCCTTCTGCCCGCCACGCCGGGCCTTCTAAGCCACTCCTGAGTCCCGCAGGGCGGGCGGCTCTGC